TAGATTATTGCATAATATTTACTGAAAGTCAATAATGTTTTATATAGGTAGATAGATTATTGCATAATATTTACTGAAAGTCAATAATGTTTTATATAGGTAGATAGATTATTGCATAATATTTACTGAAAGTCAATAATGTTTTATATAGGTAGATAGATTATTGCATAATATTTACTGAAAGTCAATAATGTTTTATATAGGTAGATAGATTATTGCATAATATTTACTGAAAGTCAATAATGTTTTATATAGGTAGATAGATTATTGCATAATATTTACTGAAAGTCAATAATGTTTTATATAGGTAGATAGATTATTGCATAATATTTACTGAAAGTCAATAATGTTTTATATAGGTAGATAGATTATTGCATAATATTTACTGAAAGTCAATAATGTTTTATATAGGTAGATAGATTATTGCATAATATTTACTGAAAGTCAATAATGTTTTATATAGGTAGATAGATTATTGCATAATATTTACTGAAAGTCAATAATGTTTATAAAGGTAGATAGATTATTGCATAATATTTACTGAAAGTCAATAATGTTTTATATAGGTAGATAGATTATTGCATAATATTTACTGAAAGTCAATAATGTTTTATATAGGTAGATAGATTATTGCATAATATTTACTGAAAGTCAATAATGTTTTATATAGGTAGATAGATTACTGCATAATATTTACTGAAAGTCAATAATGTTTTATATAGGTAGATAGATTATTGCATAATATTTACTGAAAGTCAATAATGTTTTATATAGGTAGATAGATTATTGCATAATATTTACTGAAAGTCAATAATGTTTATATAGGTAGATAGATTATTGCATAATATTTACTGAAAGTCAATAATGTTTTATATAGGTAGATAGATTATTGCATAATATTTACTGAAAGTCAATAATGTTTTATATAGGTAGATAGATTATTGCATAATATTTACTGAAAGTCAATAATGTTTTATATAGGTAGATAGATTATTGCATAATATTTACTGAAAGTCAATAATGTTTTATATAGGTAGATAGATTATTGCATAATATTTACTGAAAGTCAATAATGTTTATATAGGTAGATAGATTATTGCATAATATTTACTGAAAGTCAATAATGTTTTATATAGGTAGATAGATTATTGCATAATATTTACTGAAAGTCAATAATGTTTTATATAGGTAGATAGATTATTGCATAATATTTACTGAAAGTCAATAATGTTTTATATAGGTAGATAGATTATTGCATAATATTTACTGAAAGTCAATAATGTTTTATATAGGTAGATAGATTATTGCATAATATTTACTGAAAGTCAATAATTTTTATATAGGTAGATAGATTATTGCATAATATTTACTGAAAGTCAATAATGTTTTATATAGGTAGATAGATTATTGCATAATATTTACTGAAAGTCAATAATGTTTTATATAGGTAGATAGATTATTGCATAATATTTACTGCAAGTCAATAATGTTTTATATAGGTAGATAGATTATTGCATAATATTTACTGAAAGTCAATAATGTTTTATATAGGTAGATAGATTATTGCATAATATTTACTGAAAGTCAATAATGTTTTATATAGGTAGATAGATTATTGCATAATATTTACTGAAAGTCAATAATGTTTATAAAGGTAGATAGATTATTGCATAATATTTACTGAAAGTCAATAATGTTTTATATAGGTAGATAGATTATTGCATAATATTTACTGAAAGTCAATAATGTTTTATATAGGTAGATAGATTATTGCATAATATTTACTGAAAGTCAATAATGTTTTATATAGGTAGATAGATTACTGCATAATATTTACTGAAAGTCAATAATGTTTTATATAGTTAGATAGATTATTGCAAAATATTTACTTAAATTCAATAATGTTTTATATAGGTAGATAGATTATTGCATAATATTTACTGAAAGTCAATAATGTTTATATAGGTAGATAGATTATTGCATAATATTTACTGAAAGTCAATAATGTTTTATATAGGTAGATAGATTATTGCATAATATTTACTGAAAGTCAATAATGTTTTATATAGGTAGATAGATTATTGCATAATATTTACTGAAAGTCAATAATGTTTTATATAGGTAGATAGATTATTGCATAATATTTACTGAAAGTCAATAATGTTTATATAGGTAGATAGATTATTGCATAATATTTACTGAAAGTCAATAATGTTTTATATAGGTAGATAGATTATTGCATAATATTTACTGAAAGTCAATAATGTTTTATATAGGTAGATAGATTATTTCTTAATATTTACTGAAAGTCAATAATGTTTTATATAGGTAGATAGATTATTGCATAATATTTACTGAAAGTCAATAATGTTTTATATAGGTAGATAGATTATTGCATAATATTTACTGAAAGTCAATAATGTTTATATAGGTAGATAGATTATTGCATAATATTTACTGAAAGTCAATAATGTTTTATATAGGTAGATAGATTATTGCATAATATTTACTGAAAGTCAATAATGTTTTATATAGGTAGATAGATTATTGCATAATATTTACTGAAAGTCAATAATGTTTTATATAGGTAGATAGATTATTGCATAATATTTACTGAAAGTCAATAATGTTTATATAGGTAGATAGATTATTGCATAATATTTACTGAAAGTCAATAATGTTTTATATAGGTAGATAGATTATTGCATAATATTTACTGAAAGTCAATAATATTTATTTACGACTGGTTCGAAAAATGCCTCCGCCCTGGAAAGAACCAACAAGAAACACATCAAGATGTTAATAGAACCATCATGGTGGCATCACACAACGCTGGCTGCGTTTCCTCGCTGAATGGATAGAAAAAGAACTAGCCAGGCCTTAGAGCGAGAAAAGAACCAGCCCTCTTATCACCAGCAGCGACGACCAGTCGTGGATACAGTTCCTTTGAGAACTTCACCGCATGTGAACCCCACGAACCGAAATCGTATAGACTGTGTGCAAAAAGAACGCGACTAGGAAATTCTCGTAGTTCGGAGTCCTCACCGTCTACTACGCAGTCACGGCATTCTGTAATATGCAAATTTTACAGAAATATTGGTCATGAAATTAATGTTTTTCCAAACAATGTTCAGAGTCGACAAAACTTAACCTGCACATGTAAATTCTTATATTTTGTAAATTAGACGGTAATGTTTCGAGATCGACAATCGATGTTACAAGTGCAGTGATTGAAGGCATATCGATTGATTTATTAGTAGATAGCAGTTTCTGCATATCACTCGTATTGAGTTCTTTGCTAAAACTAAAGCCCTAAAGGCTAACCGAAAACCAACATACCGCGTTTTGTGTGGTAAAGGAAGTTAGCTTATCGAATGCGTTTGTGACATTAATTGTGGAGCTACCTCACATATCTATCTAAGCCGATTTTTATGTGATACCCCACAATTGCATCAGTACTCCGGTTATTTATATCGATATTTTGAATCGTGAAGGCATCACATACATTCGACGGAATGGTGTTTAAATTTTGACTCATACAGGTTTAACTATACGGCTAAATTACGCTTTCGGTATTAATAATGTAAACACACCACTTAATGATAGAACGTCCAGAGTCCTGCCAGCAGGACTTTTCGTACTACCGTTAGGACGCAATGTTTTTGGTAATATGAGGCTTTCTAGGCCTGCGAATAGGACGCAATTTACTAACATGCATAGTGCGTCTCTTTCTGATGCAGCGAGTTTTTGAATCGTGTTTCTGCGATCAGTCTGGCCAAAATGGCGGCGATTATAACACGTGGTGTCCACGTTCGCGTCAAAGCTACATATTTCGACGAAAATGATGACCAGAACATCTGGAGTCGGAAACATTTTGGTGATAACTACGATATAAGTTATTGTTGGGGTACTGTAAGAAAGGTAGAAAACAACTATGCTATATCGGGATTGGTATATTGGGAAATTGACAAAAAATTTCATTGGTGGCCGTTGGAGTTCTGATTGCTGATATCGAAAACGATAATTTATTGGAAGCAAATGTTATGAAGAAAATTGTAAGTATTTACCAATTATTATTTTATTCATAGCCTTACATTACAATGAAAAAATAGTAGGTCAGTCGCATGTTCGTTACCATGATTTGCATGGGTTGACAACATTTGTTTTAGATTTAAAATTTTTGGTTCACCACAAAATTTCCTCAAATGTACAGTCGAGAACTTAGTTAACTAAGTTTATAGTTTATAGTTTATACCTTGAAAGCGCCCATATTGCTCGTTATAGTGGCTGTTTTCAATATGTATATGTAAGAGTGTTTTTTACGTGTTTGTGTGGGTGAGTTTGTATGTGTATATACATAAATGAGTGTGGCTGTATTTGTATATATATGTGTTTGTAATTAAAAAAATTATTTTAATTTCAATGTATTGAGTGCGCCATGCACCCCTTTGCTTCTATTGCTAGGACTAATAGAGCTTTTTTTTCAGAATCATCTGAATCGGGCTCTTCATCTTCGAGTGAAGATGATGAGACAATTGTTTCAGTCCATCCGACTCCGCGTATGAGCAGCGTAACAAATTCTTCTGCTGGAAATACAACCGTTGTGAAGGGAGTCACCTGGACTTTCATGAAGTAATACGTGTTGATCAGCGATAACAAGGTTATTTCAAAGTTACCCTGCTAGTACCACTGGAGCCTGCACGAAGTGTCAAGGACGCATTTTTTATGGTATTTCCCAGAGAGAAACTTAGTTACATAGTCCAGTGTACCAACTCTTCGTTTCCCCCTAGACAGAAACTGTTGAACGAGAAGGAATTATTAATTTTTTGGTATATTATATGCTATGACTCTGAAGAGTCATAGCATATAATATACCAAAAAATTGAGAAGAACTCTAGAAAAGAACTAACTCTAAAAAAGAACTGCCAGACCGAAGATCCTACTGGAATACGACCTACGATGGAATATTTCCCCCCGCAAATTTTGGACAAAGATTTGGAATGAGTCGTCAAAGGTTTGAGATCATTCTAGTGGCCCTGCGCTTCACACAACCGTCAGGCCTTGATGATTCTGACAAATGGCGTAACACCAGAACACTAATAATAATGGTGAATGATAAACTAAAGGATACCATCCGCCCTGGTGCAAAAACAACTGTAGATGAATCCATGTTCGCCTGGTATGGAAGAGGTGCGTACTTCAAAGACGGGATGCCACCAGTTATGAAAATTAAAAGAAAACCAAAAGGAGTGGGTTGTGAAGTAAAAACAGCGTGTAATAGTAATACAAAAATTATGATGAGATTGGAAATTAATGAGAGTAAAGAAGCAATTAGTACGAAGAAATGGCAAAGAGAATTTGGCGCTGGAACTGCAACTACTTTGAGATTGACAGAACCGTGGCGTGGTTCTGGAAAAGTTATAGTTGGAGACTCATGGTTTGCTTCGGTGAAAACAGCTGTGGAGTTATTCAAAGTTGGATTATATTTCATTGGACTGGTAAAGACAGCACACAGTTTCTATCTCGTATCGGATATGGCTGCAGAGTGTGCGACGCACAAGGGGGCATCTGTTGTAAGTAAAACTGAAAAAGACTCAGTGCAGCTTATTGCCTGTGCCTGGAATGACAAAAAAACTCCTACATTTGTTTCCACTTGCGAAACGATACTGCCAAGCCTGCCATCACGCAAAAGATGTTATGACGATGAAGGAAATTTATTTTTCAGAGAAGTCGCTAGGCCTAAATTAGTCCAACAGTATTTTGATGGTGCTGCAGCTATCGATATTCACAACAACATCAGGCAGGACGGATTGGCGTTAGAGAAAGCTTAGGGCACACATAAATGGGAACATAGAATGATTTGGAAAAACGACGGTGCAAAAAAAAAAAAATCCACAAGAAACAGCAGAAAGCGAGCTATTTTTGCAAGGCATGTTGTGGTTTGCGATGTGTTTTATGCTCTCCACAGACAGGAAGAAACTGCTTCACCTGTGGAAGAGAAAGAGAAGAGAAGAGAGAGAAGAGAAGAAGAATGGAATTCCTGAATAACCTTTTTTAATAATTTTTTTTCACTAAGTTCCTTTCATATTCTTGTTTATTTTTCTACCCCGTAATATCAAGAAGCGCCCGCGTCTATTCCTAGATACCTATACTAAATTACAGAATGTTTGTCACCCCTGCCTAATTTTATTACGCATGAAAGTCAAGTCTTCTAAGAAGTCCTTCTAGGACAGAAGGACAGCCTCTGATATCCATAAAAAATCCACAAAATATTGCGTACTGCTAGCAGGACGCACGTCCCTAGGATTTTCCTTCCGGAAGCTCCTTCCAGCAGGATTAGGGCTTGGACGTTCTATGATTAAAAGTGAAGAGAAATTACAAATTTTGTTGGTTTAAAATAATTATTCAAAATTCTTTATAACCGGCACGGCTTCGTTAACAGTCACGACAGGTAGAATGAAAATAAATGTTCTCAACAATGAACCGGTATGCTATAGACCATACAAATTATCATAAGATGGGAAGTTTTGCGTTCAAAATATAGTTAAAGACAATGGCTAAAGGCATTATTTGGATGCATTATGCGTTGCTAACAGGATCTAGTAATCACATTCTTTACAGAGTTTTTTGAGTTTAGATATGGCATCTGGCTTTCATCAATTTCATCAATCGCCCAAACCGCTTTCGTGACCCCAGAAATTCACTTTAAATACTGTAATTGCTCGTATAAGGGAGCGTCGATAAAATAGAGCGGGTTTGCTGGCGGGATGTTAACTGGAGAGCATACAGTAGCAGTTAGATGAGCAATAAATAACACTTCTTGAGAGTTTCTTCTTATTTTATTTCTTGATTCCTTATTATTACATTGCCGGATTTGGAATATTTTACCACGAAAAAACGCCCCTTTTTTATAAGCGGCTGTAACCAATCATAATTAAGAAAAAATTGCACACGGCATTAGTGAATCTATTGACCAATCAGAGCACAGAATAACCCTTTCTAAGAGAGATTTACAATATTCTTAATAAACGTGGTAAAACATTCCTTACAACATTTATATTTATTCCTAACGATAGATACGACTTATTTCTATTATTCTAAACCTAAATTATTCAATAAACCTTTATTTTACACTTATAAAAAATAAAAATAGCTTCGCGGTCGCTTCACGGTTTAGCTCCGGAGTAGGATAGTATTTTTTTGCCGAACATACAAGTAGCGCCGCCAAGAGGTAGGAATGTACAACACTTTTTCAGGATTAATGCTTAAGAATCTATACAATATTTTTTTCATAAAATTTAAATCTTTCTCATAATGAAATGACATTATATAGTGATTAATTGACATATTAATGTTTCTTTTGAATTATTTTAAAGGAAAAAAGAATTATATTAATCACCTATATGTTAATAGCTCTTAAAGTTATGATAAAAAAATCTTACTAGAAAATAAGCTTATACTTGCGTCTAATGTTCTAATCAGACCTAAATAATATTAAATAGATTCATATAAGTTACTTTAAGATAAGAATAGAAGTGTTTAATTTACTTTCCTGTTTTCAGCACTATCAGTCTTTACACTTAGCTTTATTTTACGAATAGGAAACAATTAAGATTAAATACTATCACTTAGTTTTAAATCACTGATAAGGAATAATTAAGATTAAATGTTCGAATTCACTTTGTCGCCGCTAACAAATACATTAAGATGCCTTATAGACTTTCTTTGTATATATAATATTGTCTTTTTCGCTGACAAGAGGAGGAGGAGAATAATTCATCGTTATTGTGATTTAACATAATTTGATGGTTATAAATTTTAGCAATTTGACAATTTCTCAAGATCTCCAAGGCTATATGACTCCTAGATATTTGGGTGCTTTAAGTGCCGTAATAATAAACTATGAGCAAGTCTGCAGGCAATGGGTCGGCCATATCACTTGTAGAACCGACAACCGATTGGAAGAAAGATTCCTGAGTGGCAACCTCAAATCGGTAATCGAATTACAGCTAGACTTAATTCGATGTAGTTTCGACTGGTTAGAGGTGCAGGTCGATAGATGCAGGTGGTCAGAACCGTGATTTACGACATTCTATAGGGGGAGGCCTAAGTTGGACTTGGAATAAATTTACATAAAAATATTTAGGAGGATATCCCGGCTATTGTAAGTACGAAGAATAGGTTTTAAACGATCTTTTACTGTCGCGTTGTATGCGAATGACCGAACTAGACAACCGGAAGAGGCAACTGCAGCGCGGACTGATGAAACTTTTGAAAATTTATAGACAAAGCCATCACTCCTCGTGTTTTCCTTTCTCTCCTCAAAAACTGCACCCATTTAATTAATTTTTTCATATTAAAGATATTTTTTGTTCGTAACTTTCTTCTATTTCTTATGCTTTTTAAATTTGTTTGCTAGATGTTGTAAAACGGCGGTTTAAGTACAAACAAACATGACATATATACGCCACACCTATAATCCTTTAGTAGGGGTAAGCCAGTATCCGATTAGTCGCACATTCTTGTTTGTTGTAAGTTCAACGTAAACACGTCCCGTGTATAACTTAAGTTCCGGACCAATATCGGAAACACAACAATGGAAGATTAGTTGGAATCTTAAAAATTATTTGCTTTGGTCACATTATCTAGGGAAAAAGAGGAATACGTTTGTACTTTGTCACTAACCGCCACCAAGATTTTATCATATCAAAACGCTAATACAATTGTGATCCACGATGTTGCCAATGCCGCTGGTTATAAAAGAGATGTTTATTTTGTCCTCAAAGGCTCAGGTTTAAATAATAATAAATATTATATATTTTAATTTTTATACGATTTCGAATTTTTAATAACCAATGTATTCTATATCTAGATGTTAAAAACGTTAGGCTTAAAAGGGATTATAATTTTTGTTTAAGATAATAGTGAGGTTAAGCGATGCCTATTAAGCTTGTCAAATTTGAGGAGAAATCCGGCGACGTGATAAATGGTTCAATTGTAATAAACATTTCAAAAAAGATTGATGTTAAATGCTTCTGAGTAGCCATGTCAAGCTTATAGATAAATTATGGCAAATTTTTTTCATTATATTTAGTCATTATTAAAGTTATGTTTTATTAGAACCATAATTAATAAGAAACCTTTTAATAAGTGTTTATATCGTATTAAAGCATCTACGTATTTTCTTTACCGGAAGTACAGTTTAACCAGTACTAATGGCACGTTTACATTATCGACACAAGCAACTCGCCGAGTACTTATTAAGGGTACACTAGTCGCTTATTCTTCCATAAAAACGTAGTCCGGCGATTACTCCACTGTTTGATGGCGTACGTTTAAAATAAAAAATGATTTCAATTTGTGTCATCATTATCTAGCCCTGTATGGAAACAAAAATTAAAAAAAGTTATCACTTGCAACACGCACTGGTTGTACAATTTAATTTTCAGATTTTGAGATATACCTATCGAGAAGATGTGTCGTAATGTCCAGAACGCTGCCCAGCCGAGTTGAATCCGTCGATTGACCTCTCGCTTGAAGTGACTAACCTAGTCGGACTATTGGTCCCAGGTGTACGTACTCGTCAATAACTTCATGCTTAGCGCTCCCGACAACTACCGACATAGGTGTGACATGGCCATTAAACATGATCTTTGTTTTGTCCATGTTCAACTTAAGACCTATACGTTGGGAGACACTATTGAGGTTATTGAGCATAGTCTTAGGTTCTCCTGCGATTCTGCCATAAGAACTATATCGTAGACAAATCGAAAGTTAGTGATGTAATTGTCATTGATGTTAATACCGTATCCTTATTTTCCTTAACAGTAGGTAGGTAGTTTTATTACTATGTTTTAGTTATTTTATCAAAAAAAAAAATAACTCTAAAAGTCCATCGGTCAAGTGAATAGGGTTCATTTCACCTTTGATTGAGTAACTAAAGTATTATATACTATCTATGCTAAAATATAAAGTGCACAAGTGAAAATATATTACCTTTTTTACTACTCATAACTACATTCTACGTCTAAGTTAATACAACACTGTTCCTTTCATCCCACGCCCCAGTACTCATTAAAGGATAAGTTTTGTAAATGACAAATGACAGTGGGAGAGTATAGGTTTTGCACTACAAAATATTTTAAGAAGACCTATCGTAATTCTTAAAACCACCCATTTTCTTCAGTTTTGATCCAAAAGAGTCTGGTAATGAAGAAGTAGAGCTTAGGAGAATTTTATAAAAGTAAATCATTCGTTTTCTAATACACTACACACAATATATTCACCAGGTATTAGGACTATTTTCCTGCTAAGGAATCCGTAAGTGTGTGTACCACTATATTAAATTTTGCCATCAAAAAGTAGTACGTACACTGCTGTGTTCCGCTCTATGGAGTATAGAGAGCCAGTGTCATTATTGGTCCTTTTAATTAATATGGTTGAAGATATTCATAGACTGCAGATACTACTTACACTCAAGTGGACTGTAAGTTCTTTAGTCTCAGGTTTTATAAAAAATAATTCCTTACCTGTCCACTGCTGAACCAAGGGTTCCGCCAAGGAATTCCTCAAACCACGATCCTGAGTCATCGACATCCAACGCATTCCTACAATTCATACCAGGTCGTCACTCCTTCTACTGAAGGGTCACTAACACTCTTCGTAAAATATGTCTTCAATCATGTATTAATCCATCATAGGGTTTGGCTTGCGGTATTTATCTTCAATTACAAAAGTATTTTTTATTTGTATAAAAATTTGGTTAAGGGCTCCAAAACGCAGTGACAAAAAAAAATTGGTTGTGTCGCAAGGACTTGGATTCAAATACCGC